ATGGAACGGTCGGACATACATTCAGATCTCGATGCTTTTGCGAATGACTTTGAAGGGTTCGAACTTTAAGCTATGGCCAAGGAAGATGCTGAGGATGTTATTATTGTGGCACACGTCCTCACATTCATCGGAAAAGAATCATATAGCTTATTAAGAACTCTGACTATGCCAAAAATGTCCATTTCGCTTCTTTATACAACTCTCAAGGAACTACTGCTAGACTATGTTAAGTATACCAATTTCGATCGCGCTAAAATGAGATTTCGTAAAATGATTCACAAAGACATAAAAAATTCCAATGCATTACGTCACCCCAAACCAGTGCATACTCGAGGTTATGCAGATAATTCATTGAGGAGTTGCGATGCAGTTAACGAAGATAGGCACAAGTTTGATCAATGTTTGTCCTGTGGCAGGTTCCACTCTTTTAATTCATGTGCATTTCGTAATCCTTAGTGCTTTAAATGTGTTGATATTGGACATATTCAGTCAGTTTGTAATACGACTGTTCATCTTGCTGCAACTAATACTAAGTCTTGTGATTGTGATTCTATTAAGTTGAGTATTTATAATGATCATATATCTTTATCAACGATTTCCAAGGACAGTGTAGAGTCATATCGCAGTTCAGAGTTAAGTGAAATTCATAATCTTTGCGAGACAACAGTTTCTAATCAATCAAATTATCAGATTTCTCATGTTATTGTACCAGATATGGTATTTCCTAACGACTCACTTATTTCTGACGCGATTCCTTGCAAATCTGAGGAAAATATGTTGAATGAACCTAGTCATGATCGAAAACCTGATGTAGTTTTGATAGATGCTGAATTTTATAATGATCTTTTACTCTGAAATGACATTCTCAATAAATGCGAGGAGGCTATTTCAGAAGAGTCAAATCTTGATGTCGTATCAAATATTATTTGTGCTCATAATGCATTGGTTGCTTGTGGGAAACTTGTTCAATACGAAGTACGAGTACTAAATTAGTTCGATTTTGATCATAATTCGGATGACTTCATATCAACTGTTGTTTATCCTTATCATGAAGTCACTTCTAATGTTTACTCTAGTCAATGTGAGAAATATGTTTTAAATGAAGCCACATCATTGATAAATTGGGGGTATAGACATCCAACATTATTTCGTGGGTTAGGATAATCTAAAAGTCTATGGTTCGAATTCTAGGAAGCAGCGGTTTCAGTACACAACCGACATGCTGATTACACAACCACAGGAAGCAGGTGATTCTGTTCCGATTTCGCTTGTTAATTCTAATACTAATGAGTGCATTCTAGATAATACAGAGATTTTATTCAGTAAAATGTCGAACAAACACAGGATGAACTTGAGAAGAAGACGTACAATTGATTACTTACTTACTTACTTACTTACGCCTGTTACTCCTCGTGAAGGAGCATAGGCCGCTCACCAGCATTCTCCATCCAACCCTGTCCTGGGCAATCCTTTCTAGCTGCGTCCAGTTGTAATTCATCGTTTTCATATCTGCTTCTATTATCCGCCGCAATGTGTTCTTTGGCCTTCCTCTTGTTCGCTTCCCTTCAGGATTCCAAGTTAGGGCTTGTCTCGTGATGCAGTTTGAAGATTTGCGTAATGTATGTCCTATCCATTTCCATCGTCTTTTCCTAATTTCTTCTTCAGCTGGAAGTTGGTTTGTTCTCTCCCACAGAAGGCTATTGCTGATGGTATCCGGCCAATGGATGTTGAGTATCTTGCGTAGACAACTATTTATAAATACTTGTACCTTCTTGATGGTTGTTGTTGTAGTTCTCCAAGTTTCAGCTCCATACAGTAGAACTGCCTTGACGTTGGTATTGAAGATTCTCACTTTGATATTGGTTGAAAGTTGTTTTGAGTTCCATATGTTCTTTAACTGTAGGAATGCTGTCCTTGCTTTGCCAATCCTTGCCTTTACGTCTGCATCTGAACCTCCTTGTTCATCGATGATGCTTCCCAGGTATGTGAAGGACTCTACATTTTCCAGAGTTTCGCCATCAAGAGTGATTGGGTTGTTGTTTTCCGCTTTGAATTTGAGGACTTTGGTTTTCCCTTTGTGTATGCTGAGGCCTACTGATGCAGAGACTGCTGCTACACTGGCTGTCTTCATCTGCATCTGTTCATGTGTACGTGATAGGAGGGCTAGGTCATCTGCGAAGTCCAAATCGTCTAATTGATTCTGAGCTGTCCATTGAATTCCGTGTTTTCCTTCAGATGTCGAGGTCTTCATAATCCAGTCGACCACCAGAAGAAAGAGGAAGGGAGAGAGTAAACAGCCTTGTCTGACTCCGGTCCTTACTTGGAATGCATCTGTCAGCTGTCCTCCATGCACGACTTTGCACTGTAGTCCGTCGTATGAGTTCCGGATAATGTTGACAATCTTCTCAGGAACTCCGTAGTGTCGAAGAAGTTTCCATAACGTCCTCCTATCCACACTGTCAAATGCCTTTTCATAATCAATGAAGTTGATGTATAGTGACGAGTTCCACTCAACTGATTGTTCGACGATGATCCGTAGTGTTGCAATTTGGTCTGTGCATGATCGATCCTTACGGAATCCAGCTTGTTGATCTCGAAGTTGGGCGTCTACTGCATCTTTCATTCGGTTCAGCAACACTCTGTTGAAGACCTTCCCTGGTATTGACAGCAGTGTAATGCCTCTATAGTTTTCACATTTGCTCAGATCTCCTTTCTTTGGAATCTTGACGAGGTGCCCTTCTTTCCAGTTCATCGGCACTTGTTCCTCTTCCCAAATCTTTTTGAATAGAAGATAAAGCATGTTTGTAGTTGCTTCGATGTCTGACTTCAGTGCTTCAGCTGGTATGTTGTCCGGACCCGCTGCTTTCCCGTTCTTGATTTGTCTGACGGCCATTCTGATTTCTTCCTTCGTTGGTGGGTTGACGTCTATGGGAAGATCTGTGTGTGCCGCTTCGATGTCCGGTGGATTCATTGGAGCCGGCCTATTCAAGAGTTCCTCGAAGTATTCTACCCATCTGTTCCGCTGTTGTTGAATTTCGGTGATTGGCTTGCCTTCTTTGTCTTTGACCGGTCTCTCTGGTTTACTGTATTTTCCTGCTAGTTTCTTCGTTGTATCGTAAAGCTGTTTCATATTTCCTTCTCTAGCAGCTTTTTCTGCCGTCGTTGCTAGTTCTTCCACATATTTCTTCTTGTCGGCTCTAATGCTCCTCTTCACTTGTTTGTTTGCTTCTATGTATTCAGCTTGTGCTTGGACTTTCTCTGCTCGTGTTCGGCTGTTGTTTATTGCTGCCTTCTTGTTCTTCCTTTCTTTGATCTTGTACAGTGTTTCTGTAGAGATCCATTCCTTATGATGGTATTTCTTTAGACCCAGAACCTCTTGACACGTTGAAGTCAATGCTTCGCTGATGCTTTTCCAGTTGTCCTCCATACTAGTTTCTTCTTCTTTCAGTAGATCTTGTAGGGCTTGGAACCTGTTGTTGAGAGCTATCTTGAATTCATTGAGTTTGTCAGTATCTCGAAGGAAGGCTGTATTGAACCTTTGTATTGCTGTTTGTCCACTTGTCCAGTTCTTTTTTAGCTTCAGTTTTAAATTGGCCACAACTAGGTGATGATCTGAAGCTACGTCAGCACCTCTTTTGGTTCTCACATCTTCCATTGTCCTTCTGAATTTTTTGTTGATGCAAATATGATCTATTTGGTTCTCTGTAGTGTGGTCCGGTGAGATCCATGTAGCCTTGTGTATACGCTTGTGTGGAAATATTGTGCCTCCTATGACCAATTTGTTGAATGCACATAGATTTGCAAATCTTTCTCCATTTTAGTTTCTTTCTCCCAGTCCATGTCGTCCCATAATATCTTCATATCCAGTGTTGTCTATTCCGACTTTGGCATTTAGATCTCCCATCAGAATAGTTAGGTTCTTCCTTGGGCATTTCTCAATAACTGACTGCAGCCGCTCGTAGAACTGATCTTTAATGTCGTCGTTGCTATCATTTGTGGGTGCATAACATTGGATAATGTTCATTAAGATCCCCTCCTTCTTTGTTTTGAATGAGGCTTTGATGATTCTGGATCCGTGGGATTCCCATCCTACAAGTGCATTTCGTGCTAATTTGGACAGCATAAGAGCGACTCCCTGAGTGTGTGGAGCATTGTCCTCTTCGTGACCGGAGTATAGCAGCATCTCTCCCGTAGCTAGCCTTTTCTGTCCAGCTTGGGTCCAGTGGGTTTCGCTGATTCCCAGTACTGCTAAGTTGTATCTCCTCATTTCCATTGCTATTTGATTGGTCTTCCCGGTTTCCCACATTGTTCGAACGTTCCATGTACCTATAAAAATTTTTGCTCTGGTTGTTAGAAGGGGCATCGTCCCCTTGGCTTCCGAAGGAACTCGGCTTTCACCATGAAGCGTCATAATTCTTCTAAATGAAGACCTTCTAACTTCCAGGGCAGAGTTTAAATGGTTTGGATTATTTTTTCTGGTTAGAGTTTTTTTAGCGAGTTAGTTTTCTACGGGATGGGGACGCTAACCCCATGCCCAACCCTCCTCCTTTACCCGGGCTTGGGACCGGCAGTAACGCTATAAGAGCTACAGGCGGAGTTGTACAATTGATTACAGACACCTAAACTCCAATGTAAGATGTGTCGGATGTGGTGTTTGAAATAACTAACGATACTTTTGTAATTGTTGAATGCTTGATTTCGAATTATAAATACAGAACATTCGTTTGTGCTTATCTAGTAGTACTTGATACGACTACGTTATTTCTGGGATTCCTAGTTCATGCTATAATTCAAATACTCCTGATTATCATATTTGCGTCGCGATGGAGCCTGTGATGGAACGGTCGGACATACATTCAGATCTCGATGCTTTTGCGAATTACTTTGAAGGGTTCGAACTTTAAGCTATGGCCAAGGAAGATGCTGAGGATGTTATTATTGTGGCACACGTCCTCACATTCATCGGAAAAGAATCATATAGCTTATTAAGAAGTCTGGCTATGCCAAAAATGCCCATTTCGCTTCTTTATACAACTCTCAAGGAACTACTGTTAGACTATGTTAAGTATACCAATTTCGATTGCACTAAAGGGAGATTTCGTAAAATGATTCACAAAGACATAAAAAATTCCAATGCATTACGTCACCCCAAACCAGTGCATACTCGAGGTTATGCAGATAATTCATTGAGGAGTTGCGATGCAGTTAACGAAGATAGGCACAAGTTTGATCAATGTTTGTCCTGTGGCAGGTTCCACTCTTTTAATTCATGTGCATTTCGTAATCCTTAGTGCTTTAAATGTGTTGATATTGGACATATTCAGTCAGTTTGTAATACGACTGTTCATCTTGCTGCAACTAATACTAAGTCTTGTGATTGTGATTCTATTAAGTTGAGTATTTATAATGATCATATATCTTTATCAACGATTTCCAAGGACAGTGAAGAGTCATATCGCAGTTCAGAGTTAAGTGAAATTCATAATCTTTGCGAGACAACAGTTTCTAATCAATCAAATTATCAGATTTCTCATGTTATTGTACCAGATATGGTATTTCCTAACGACTCACTTATTTCTGACGCGATTCCTTGCAAATCTGAGGAAAATATGTTGAATGAACCTAGTCATGATCGAAAACCTGATGTAGTTTTGATAGATGCTGAATTTTATAATGATCTTTTACTCTGAAATGACATTCTCAATAAATGCGAGGAGGCTATTTCAGAAGAGTCAAATCTTGATGTCGTATCAAATATTATTTGTGCTCATAATGCATTGGTTGCTTGTGGGAAACTTGTTCAATACGAAGTACGAGTACTAAATTAGTTCGATTTTGATCATAATTCGGATGACTTCATATCAACTGTTGTTTATCCTTATCATGAAGTCACTTCTAATGTTTACTCTAGTCAATGTGAGAAATATGTTTTAAATGAAGCCACATCATTGATAAATTGGGGGTATAGACATCCAACATTATTTCGTGGGTTAGGATAATCTAAAAGTCTATGGTTCAAATTCTAGGAAGCAGCGGTTTCAGTACACAACCGACATGCTGATTACACAACCACAGGAAGCAGGTGATTCTGTTCCGATTTCGCTTGTTAATTCTAATACTAATGAGTGCATTCTAGATAATACAGAGATTTTATTCAGTAAAATGTCGAACAAACACAGGATGAACTTGAGAAGAAGACGTACAATTGATTACAGACACCTAAACTCCAATGTAAGATGTGTCGGATGTGGTGTTTGAAATAACTAACGATACTTTTGTAATTGTTGAATGCTTGATTTCGAATTATAAATACAGAACATTCGTTTGTGCTTATCTAGTAGTACTTGATACGACTACGTTATTTCTGGGATTCCTAGTTCATGCTATAATTCAAATACTCCTGATTATCATATTTGCGTCGCGATGGAGCCTGTGATGGAACGGTCGGACATACATTCAGATCTCGATGCTTTTGCGAATTACTTTGAAGGGTTCGAACTTTGAGCTATGGCCAAGGAAGATGCTGAGGATGTTAATATTGTGGCACACGTCCTCACATTCATCGGAAAAGAATCATATAGCTTATTAAGAAGTCTGGCTATGCCAAAAATGTCCATTTCGCTTCTTTATACAACTCTCAAGGAACTACTGCTAGACTATGTTAAGTATACCAATTTCGATTGCACTAAAGGGAGATTTCGTAAAATGATTCACAAAGACATAAAAAATTCCAATGCATTACGTCACCCCAAACCAGTGCATACTCGAGGTTATGCAGATAATTCATTGAGGAGTTGCGATGCAGTTAACGAAGATAGGCACAAGTTTGATCAATGTTTGTCCTGTGGCAGGTTCCACTCTTTTAATTCATGTGCATTTCGTAATCCTTAGTGCTTTAAATGTGGTGATATTGGACATATTCAGTCAGTTTGTAATACGACTGTTCATCTTGCTGCAACTAATACTAAGTCTTGTGATTGTGATTCTATTAAGTTGAGTATTTATAATGATCATATATCTTTATCAACGATTTCCAAGGACAGTGAAGAGTCATATCGCAGTTCAGAGTTAAGTGAAATTCATAATCTTTGCGAGACAACAGTTTCTAATCAATCAAATTATCAGATTTCTCATGTTATTGTACCAGATATGGTATTTCCTAACGACTCACTTATTTCTGACGCGATTCCTTGCAAATCTGAGGAAAATATGTTGAATGAACCTAGTCATGATCGAAAACCTGATGTAGTTTTGATAGATGCTGAATTTTATAATGATCTTTTACTCTGAAATGACATTCTCAATAAATGCGAGGAGGCTATTTCAGAAGAGTCAAATCTTGATGTCGTATCAAATATTATTTGTGCTCATAATGCATTGGTTGCTTGTGGGAAACTTGTTCAATACGAAGTACGAGTACTAAATTAGTTCGATTTTGATCATAATTCGGATGACTTCATATCAACTGTTGTTTATCCTTATCATGAAGTCACTTCTAATGTTTACTCTAGTCAATGTGAGAAATATGTTTTAAATGAAGCCACATCATTGATAAATTGGGGGTATAGACATCCAACATTATTTCGTGGGTTAGGATAATCTAAAAGTCTATGGTTCGAATTCTAGGAAGCAGCGGTTTCAGTACACAACCGACATGCTGATTACACAACCACAGGAAGCAGGTGATTCTGTTCCGATTTCGCTTGTTAATTCTAATACTAATGAGTGCATTCTAGATAATACAGAGATTTTATTCAGTAAAATGTGGAACAAACACAGGATGAACTTGAGAAGAAGACATACAATTGATTACAGACACCTAAACTCCAATGTAAGATGTGTCGGATGTGGTGTTTGAAATAACTAACGATACTTTTGTAATTGTTGAATGCTTGATTTCGAATTATAAATACAGAACATTCGTTTGTGCTTATCTAGTAGTACTTGATACGACTACGTTATTTCTGGGATTCCTAGTTCATGCTATAATTCAAATACTCCTGATTATCATATTCGCGTCGCGATGGAGCCTGTGATGGAACGGTCGGACATACATTCATATATTGTTATACTTAACCTTGTCTAGCAGTAGTTGCTTGATAGTTGTATAAAGAAGCGAAATTGACATTTTTGCATAGTCAGAATTCTTAATAAGCTATATGATTCTTTTCCGATGAATGTGAGGACGTGTGCCACAATATTAACATCCTCAGCATCTTCCTTGGCCATAGCTCAAAGTTCGAACCCTTCAAAGTAATTCACAAAAGCATCGAGATCTGAATGTATGTCCGACCGTTCCATCACAGGCTCCATCGCGACGCAAATATGATAATCAGGAGTATTTGAATTATAGCATGAACTAGGAATCCCAGAAATAACGTAGTCGGATCAAGTACTACTAGATAAGCACAAACGAATGTTCTGTATTTATAATTCGAAATCAAGCATTCAACAATTACAAAAGTATCGTTAGTTATTTCAAACACCACATCCGACACATCTTACATTGGAGTTTAGGTGTCTGTAATCAATTGTATGTCTTCTTCTCAAGTTCATCCTGTGTCTGTTCGACATTTTACTGAATAAAATCTCTGTATTATCTAGAATGCACTCATTAGTATCAGAATTAACAAGCGAAATCGGAACAGAATCACCTGCTTCTTGTGGTTGTGTAATCAGCATGTCGGTTGTGTACTGAAACCGCTGTAAGCTCTGTTTTGAATGCCTTGTGTGTTTGTTATAATGCCTCCATGTGTATACTTTCACTTTGTTCCTATTTTTCCGCGTAGTTGTACATTGTTAGTTTTTTGATTACGTTTGGATTGTTAATATTTGTATTTTATCATAGTCTTTATTTTTATTACACCTTCACTAAGTTTTTGTGTTTCCTCCCGAAATGTATCCATGTTGTTTTACTTGACACTTGTTCTTGGCAGCAGCCATATTGATTTGCTCCTCCTTTTGTGTGTGATCTATCCAGTCAGGATAGAATAGCGTTTAATTGTTGTGGCTGGTAATTTTCCCACATCGTTTATCAACTTTAATTTATGTAGTTTAGTTTTGATTGATTGAACAATTATTGGTTGAATAGCCGGGTGATAATATTTGTTTAGGTAACGATTTAATTTTATGATGAATTATAGAACCGCTATTTACCCGATTACTTGTTTTGATTTTGACGGGCAGGGGCGCGAGTCTAACGTACGTGGACAGCTATTCATCTATCCAAACCGTAGTTTGGATTCTACAGTTCTAAACAAATATTAATTGGTCGAAGTCCTTTGGCAATCGTTAGCGGATTTTGATTATCGTTTCTGGAAATATTTAGTCATTTATTATTATGCCAACTAATTGTCGAAGGAAATCAAACTCAAAGTTCGTTGATGTTAATGAAGAATCCTCCATTACCAAGCAAGTACCTTTTGATGTCCTTAAGTGTCATGGTTCCGACTCGAATAGGGTTGATTATCATGGTAGTGACTCTAGTCTTAATTCGATGGCAGATGACGTGAAAAATCTTAGTTTAAAGGAGAAGAAAAGGCTTGAATTAACAGGAAAGAGCGTTTTGCCCATAACGCCTGTTGTTGGTCTAGAACTACCAAAGGTTGAATTGAGTTATTTCGATGGTCAGGCAAGAGGGTATTGGAAGTTTATAAGGCATTTCGAGACCTATGTAGTATCAAGAGTCACTGATGATAGCCAGCGTTTGCTCTATTTAATGCACTACTGTAAGGGCAAGGCGAAAGCAGCTGAGGATGATACAGGTATTCAGTGTTTGACAACGCTTCTACCAGTAACACCTTCTAATATACTTTGTTCCCACCGAGAGAAATCAAAAGACAGAGTCGAGGAGATCGGAAGAGTGTATTTGGCGATAACCAATATATCGGAATTTTCTGATCTAATCTGGCTAGCAATTGCGATAGATGTTGAGTACAGCGTTACCACACGTGATCTGGTGCGGATGCATGACCGAGCGCCTTCAGCTAGATGAGTCCACTAAAACATATGGTCAGCATTCAATGTCGAAAACTTACAGAGCTATTTAGTTTGGAGATTTATTTACCGCTACAGATCACTCCCCCCTAGTGGGGCAGTGATGACCCTAAGACGTGGCCAGCCAGAAGTTTAAACCCAACGAGTTTGTCGTTGGTAAACACTCTTCTGATAGCTTACTAAATTTAGCAGCGTCTGGTCGTCTTTCCTCATTATATGTGACCGAGGTACAACATAGTAAAAAAAGAAAAAGTACAATGAACATTTTCGATTCCTCGTAAACTGCGTCGTTCTT